CAAATACACACGTTTATGTAACTGTTTATGCGCTGTTTGTATATAAGTGTCATTCAAAAAGGTGGGTCATGCTTTATCTTTTTTATATCTAAATTTTTATACAAAATCTTATTAGAAATTTATTTCCATGTCATTTAATGTTCTTCTGCACCATCTTTAAAATTTATTCATTTATTTATTTTTAAATGATTTATTTATTTTTGAGAGTACAAGCAGGGGAGGGGCAGAGAGAGAGGGGGACAGAAGATCTGAAGTGAGCTCTGCGCCGACAGCAGCAAGCCCGATGGGGGGTTCAAACTCGCGAGATCATGACCTGAGCCAAAGTTGAATACTCAACTGACTAAGCCACCCAGATGCCCCTTGCATCGTGGTATTTAATGGCTATATGTATTGTTTTATGTGCCTGATTTATGTAATGATTTTCTGTGCTGAAATTTTATTTGTTGTGTTTCACTCACAGAAGCCTGACCACAGTGAACCTTCTTGTTGCTAAGTTTTCATGTGCATTTGTGATTGTTTAGGATTGATTCCCAGAAGAGGACTGGTTGGGTTACAATGAGGGCTTCAGTTGTGAGAGGCTGGCATCACTTAGTTGAAGGTGGAGGGTTGTGGAAGACAGTGGGACAGGACAAATAGAAAAGATAGGCAGCTGCGAGGATTTCGGTCAAGGAGAGTCCTGGTGCAGTGAACGTGATATAAGTGGGGGAGGGAGGAGGCAGCCGGGGCCTGTCCTCATTGCTGGTTTCCATGACTGATGTTTGAAGGGGTAAGAGAAGAGCAGAATAAGCCTGTGGATGTTGTGGGGATTGAGGACTGGCCTCAGCCTGGCTTCCCCAGGTCTTGCCGAGAGTTTGTGGGACAGAGGAGGTTTTCTCTGGGTTGGAGGCCCCCAGTGCCTTTAGCCTTTTGGGGGTCTGGAGAGAATCCTCTGTGGCTCTGCATTTAGGCCGTCCTTCTGGCTTGACTCACATCAGCCTGCTCTGGACAGCCCTAATACTACCTACGTGGGGACTGTTGGGGAGTGTGGTGTGCTTAGTGGGCATCTCCTGTGATGTGAGGAGCCAGATCATCAACCCTCTATATTGTGTGCCACATGGGGTTGGTGAACAGAGATTCACAGGGAGTGGGCAGTTGCAGCCAAGCACAGACATCCCTAGAAGCAGCTCCTGGGATCAGAAGACCAAGATGGAGGCCTGGTCCAGCTCTTTCTTATTAGCCAAGTGAATGTGGGGATAAGCTGTCCTGGGCTTCGGCTTCTGCAGCCATAAAACAGGGCTAATACCTGCCTCGTCGGGTCACTGAAAGGATTAAAATGGATGGCATGTAAAGCATCTGCGGGATGCAGACACTTTGAACTGCCCAGTTGTCCTGTTTGAGTAGGTCATCGTCACTCTAAGCTCAGTTTCCTCATTTGACGAATAGGGATAAGAATACATACTTTGTGATAAGTACATGCGGTGAATTGTAGGAAGGAACTTGGAAGTGATAAATGTCAACGTAAGTGTTACCGTTCCTGGGCATGTGCAGATGGCTGCACCAGGTATGTACGGGTGCCACTAACAGCCACCTGAGGGTCACAGGCATCTGGCACGGCAGATTGAGATTGTGCTAGCAGAGGAGGGTGTGTGCCGTGCTGGGGAGAGTAAAGGACACAGAGGTGAAAGAGCTGGTTGTGTTGTAGAACCTCCTCTTATGCTGGGATTTGATCTCAAAACCAGAGCACGAAGTCAGAATCATATGTAGTTAAATTTGATTACCCTTAAAGTCCCCACACCTGCTCACAGAGTGTCTCAGTCCAGTACCATCAGCTCCTCTTCCAGCATAGGAGCAGATTGCCTTTTCTTGGGTTGGGTACCAGCAGAAATAGTGAACTTAGGTTTCAGGGCTGTGCTAAATTAAACTCAGCATTGCGCAGTGAGGGGCACATGGGAACCGAGAGCAGTGGAAGAAATGGCCGATTCACACAGTTCCATCATTTGTAACTCTCGTCTCAGGCTCACTCTAGGTCTCCCTTTCATTTCAGCTTTCCATCCTTTAACAAATATTTATTGATCACTTACTGTGTGTCAGATGCTGTGCTAGACACTGGGGAACAGCACTGAACAAAAACACACCATTCTACATTACATTCTGGTTGGGGGGGGCAGATAATAAACAAGCAAAAGAAGTTTCTTAGTTTGCTAGATAGGAGTGCTATGGGAGACCAACGAAGCAAAATGTATTTTAGGGAGTTCTGGAGTAGCCAATTGCAGTTTAAATGGAGTGGCTTGGGAAGCTCTGATTTTCATAAGCAGGAGAATTCTCTGCAGGAGAATAAGTGAATGCTATGGAATGGCCAGGGCAAAGGCTCTGAGGCAGGTGCCTGCATCTTCGTGTGCAGTGAGGAACCCAGCGTGGCTAGAGTGGAGGGAAGCAGGAGGAGAGCCATGGGGATGAGATCTGATGTCGTAGAGCCTCATAGGTCATTGTTGGGCTGACTTTGGCCTTTTGTCTGGGCAAGAGAAGAGGTTACTGGAGAGTTTTGAGCAGAGGAGGGACAAGGTGCTTGCCAAGATCATTCTGGTTTCTGTGTTGAGAAAAGCCTGAAAAAGGACAAGGGAATTAGTTAGGGGAGTGTTGCAGTGGTCGTGATGAGAGACAGTGGTGGCTTGAACCAGGGTGATAAGAATTAACTGTGGATAATTTGAAGTTAGAACCACCATTCCATTTTCTGTCAGTTTAGATGTGAGGTTGAACAAAGAGGTAAGTTCAAAGGAACCTCCAAGGGTTTATTCTTGAGTCGCAGATGGATTTGCGATTAGTTGAGGTGGGGAGCCTATGAGAGGAGCTGTGGGGGACAGGTTTGGACAAGTTAAGTTTGAAGTCCTGCCAGACACCTAGGGGGAAATGTGGAGGGGGTAGGTTGGATGTGAAAGAATTTGGAACTCAAGGCAGAAGCTCAGCCTGGAATTCTGTGTTTGGGAGTTGTCAGTTTATAGTTATTATGTACAACCATGCAACAAGGCTGAGATCTCCTAAGGAGTGAGTGTAGGTATCTGGTCTCACCGGTGTTAAGAGTCAGGAGATGAGAAGGAACCAGCCACAAACTGGGAAGGAGTGGCTGGAGAGGTGGGAAGATAATCAGGAGTGTGGCATCCTGGATGCAGATGTTGGAGGGAGGGAGGCACAGAGAGATGCTCGCACTGTTTGAATAGTCCTTCCTCTCTCGGAGCACTGGGAGCTGCATTTGAGAATGTGCAATACACGTGATGCGGTCCCACCTTGGCACGTTTGAAAATGCACCGTTCCAGCAGCATGTGGGGGTCTAGGAATGGCAGGTGGAACGAGACAGGCACAGCATACAGTGCCTGCACTCTGCGTGAAATACAGCTGGTGGGGCTTCTCTGACACTTGATATGCAGTGGCCTGGCCAGAGAGACTTGGGCATTCATCTAGGCACTGTAAGCCAGGTTCCCCGTCTGCAAAATGGAGATCTGATAACCTCCCCCATAGAGCATTTATGCGGATTCAAAGAGAAACTGCACCTGAAGTGCTCAGCCAGACCCAGGAACTTACAAAGTTCTCTGTGTTAGGATTCTGTGACTCGCCAGGCCTCTGCGGTGGGTTCAAAATGCTGCAGTGCAGGTTCTCACCGTGTCAGCCTCATGGGGACACTCTGAGCAGATCCACTCACCCACTTCTTACCCCCCAGCGAGTCACGCCACTCTTGTCATTCCAAGAAATCTTAATTTCTTTATTGTTTGATTTTTTTGACTCAACAATTTTTTTTAAACTTTTTGTTTTTTTCTGAAACGTTCTTGTTATGAGCCTTTTGTTTTGTTCTCGTTAAATGCACTCGACCCAAAATTGGTTTGGCATATCGAAAAGGAGACCAAGGAGGGACTGGGGGGCATGGGAGAGAGGGGAGGAGGCCCGAATGGACACAAGAGATATTGAGGGTGAAAGAAGAGGTACACAGAGACAGTGAAAAAGACACAGGGAAAGAGGTGTTGACAGAGAAAGGAAGGCCAGGGAAACAACAACAAAAAATACTAAGATTTAAAAGCAAATGAATTCAGGAGCCCAAGGAAGAGAGTAGGAGAGGAAACCAAGACCCTTCCTTCTCTATACTGTCCCAGCTGGGGTGGGGTGTCAAGGCACCAGGTCTGGTTGGGGTGAGGGGACACCTGGGCTCTCGGGGGTGGCTTTGCACTTGACTGCAGTGGTGTCCAACCCCACCAGGGGGCCCTGCCATGCAGCTCTGAGGCCTGGGACTCCACCTTGGTGATTTTGGCTGGAATGAGAACCTAGGGACCCACCACACCCTCTCTCCCCTTGATTGTCAGTATCTGGAGAGATAAAAGGAGGGCTGGTCAGGGGAGAGAAAGCAGATTCCTTGCCTACCTCCAGCACCCACCCCCTGTGGAACTCTCCCTCCAAGCCTGCTCTCCAGCCCTCTTACTGGTGGCAGAGGCAGCCTCTGGCTCTGGCTGGACTGACGCCTGGCCAACTCCTCCATTGTCCCTCCTCTCTTGCCAGCTCTTCACAGACCTCTAACTGCCCCTTCCTAAGTGGAGTTCCTGGCCTAGTGATACCAAGGAAGGCCACAGAGCTGTCTGGGCACGACTGTCCCTATACTTCTCTCTTCCCCATCCAGACTTACCCATGTTCTTCCGCTGAATGAGGTTAAGCCTTCCTACCGAAAAGCCAGATATGGAACCCAAACCTGCCTTCTCCCCACACCTGTCTCCCTACATGGGACAAACCACCATCTTTGGTCTGACCCCTTCTCCCCTAACTGATGGGGACAAGCCAGCCCCAGCTCCCCAGGAGAAGGGAGGGACTTTCTAGCAGCAAAAAGGGTTCCTCCAGCCACCTACCTGTCCCTTTCCCCTAGTTCCTCCCTAGAGCCTTCCCCCCCCACCCCCGCCCCCTTAACCCAAAGAAGTTTATGGCAGCAGCAGGCTGAGACCCGAAGATGTTTGAAAACTCATGGCACTTGTGAGAAAAGAGAGAGGGGCAAAAGAGACAAGAAGGGGGCCAGAATAGGGGTGGAGGGCCACCCCTGGGAGAATGGCAATGATAGGGCTGGGCTAGTGTGGCAATGGGACTACCCTACCCTCAAAGAGTTGGGGCAGGGGAGGCCAGGGTGAGAGGCTGAGGAGGAGGGTGTTGGAAGAGGTACTCAGGAGACATCCCCAGCCTGAAGCTTCCAGAGTCTATAGGTTGGGGGTAGAGCCCCCAATACAAAGGTGTCCTGACTGCAGGCCCTGGTACTTGGCTCTGTGTCCCCTGCAGGAGGGTGTAGGGGAGGGAAGGTGATCTCTCACCTTTGCATACCCTCCCCACCCCCCTCAAGAGAGAAGACAAGTTCACCACTCCTAGCCTCCCGGTCACACCCACCACTTGCTGCCTCCACTTTCCTTCCCCCATCAACCTCTCTAGGTGGGAAATCAGTCCCTTCTTCCTCGGCCCAGCGTCCCAGAAGCAATATACAAGAAGCAGGAACTCAAAGGGACAGCGCAGCCATCTTGGCAAAAGCATCTTTGGGTGTGAGGGTGTCTCCCCCGGGCCAGTGGGGAGGGGAGGGGGAGACAGGCGCCGGTCCTGGGGCAGGCAGTGAGGTACACGCCCCAGGAGGGCTGACTGAGGCCAGGGACAGGCGGAGCAGGGAAAGAGGCGACAGAAACAGTGCCGGGAAGGAAACAGGTTCTTTGTTTCGCTGTTGCTTCTAGATTTTGTTTTCTGTCTCTGGATTGTAAAAAGCTGCTCTGGCGGCCCGCCCACCCCGGCTGGGGATGCACACATACACGGAGAAGTCCTGGCTGCCAGGGCCCGGCGGCGCCACTCTGCTCCGGAGAAAGCCCCGGGCTGGCTGGGCCACAGGCTCCCGGTGGCTTCAAGTGATGAGATTTTCTTTCCTTTTTTTTTTTTTTTTTTTTTTGTCTTTTTTTTTTTTTGTCTTTTTCATTTCGTTGAAATATTTACAGCAATGGGGGAGGAGGAGGAGAGAGGAAGGGGTAAGATGGCCCCCTAGGGAAAGATCCAAGCCCAGGACCCACTCCCCAGGGAGATCCAGACCCAAAATCTGCTCCCCAGTTAGCCGAGCCCACAGGACTGGGAACTGCCCAAATATGGCCACCCCTGTGGGCTGGGGGCCCTGCGGGGAGTTGTGCTTCATCAGGAGTCACCCCAAGGGAGGGGGTCACTGGGTGCACTTGAGGAGGCTGATGGGCAGGCTTGCTGGGGAGGCAAGGATGAAGAGCAGAGGAGGGAAGGAGCTTCAGAGAAAGTTCCACCTTGAAACCAGCAGCCACAACTGCCCGTTCCGCCTGCCCTGGGGCCTTCTCTTGGGCCAGAGGCCCCAGTCTCCAAGGAGCAGGGAACTAGTGCAGGAGGAACCTGTCTGTCTGCTCCCACTGCTCCTTCCTGGTGCAGCTGGCAGCATTTCCAGATGCAGAGAGAGGAGCAGCGGACAGGTTCCATTCAGCAGGGCCCTTGGCCCAAGGAAGCCAAAGCCCTCGTTTCCCTCCAGGGGGTAGGAAGGTAGGGGAGAGGGGGAAGTAGAGAGTGGGCTGCACCCATCCAATTTCTCCTTCCTTACTCCCTTGGGGACCTCTTGGCTTCTCCTCACTGCACTTCCCCCAATTCGAGCTGGTGCACGTGGCTGGTAGGAAACCCTGTCTGTGAACCCTGCACCACAGGCCCCCATGGCAGAACTCCTGAGGGGCCTAGAGGGCCCACGGCCGACGGGTACTTGGAGAGAGTGGCCCACCAGCCACTGCCTCCATGAGTCTCCCTCTCCCACCAGAGCCCCACCCAGGGTTCCCTCCCTGGCCTGGGCCACCAGCCCCTGGTCCGTGAGGTCCCTCAGAGACTGGTGACCAGCTGCATCTGCCCATCCCCGTCGGGCCCTGGCCCCTCGAGGCCTGGGGCTGCCAGGTAGCCCTCGTGGCTGGGCCGCCGCACCTGGTAGTAGCCCTGCAGGGGGTTCCGGGCCACCAGGGCCGGTGGGCGCGAGGTGTAGTAGATTTCAGGGGGGCCGGGGGGCGCAGGCGGGGGTGGTGGGAGGGCCTCGCTGGGCCCCTCGGGGCTGCTGTCCGGGTAGGAGGGCGAGTCCCGCAGGTTGGCCCCGCTGGCATAGAGGGAGTCCCGGCCCGGAGGGGAGGAGAGAGGCCGGCTGGTGGCCCCATCCTCCGCAGTGCAGCTCTCCGACTCATCCAGATCGCTCTGGTACAGCACCGACTGGGCCCGGGGCAGCAGCAGCGGCTCCTCCAGGGCCTTGTAGAGAAGTTCGATCTCTGCCCGGTCAGCACCCCCGGGCCCGCCTGCTTCTTCCTCGCCACCGCCCCCTGGCACAGGTGGCACGGGGGGTTCGGGTGGTGGAGGGCCCTTGGCCCCGCTGCTGCCGCCCCGCAGGTTGTTGTGTACCAGCTCTGAGATGATCATCTTCTCGAAGGCGGCAGCGTCGGCCAGGTTCCGGCCTCGGGGTGGCTCGGAGGCCCCATCCCCTGGAGGGAAATCCCCACTTCGCAAGGAGTAACTGTTGTTGAAGTTGCCATTGAGGGGCAGTGTGTCCATGCCACAGGCTTCCCGGCCTCCCAGAGGGTGCTCTGCAGGCAAAAGGGGATCGGCTCAGGAGGCGCGTGGGCGGCGACAGGGGCATGGGCACACGGGAGAGGGGGTGCCTGCTTCCCCCTGGGCTGAGCTCTCCCATTCCCATTCTTTCTCACTGGCAGAGGGGACGCCAGCCCAGCAGCAGGTTTGGGGAAGGGGGTGGGGACCAGTTCTCTCCGGGTCCCCTCTCAGGTAGAGGCTATGTGAAGAGTTGTGTGTGACCGGTTCCATTTCCTGTGCTCTGACTCTCACCTTCACTGCCTACCTGAGAGCCAAATATAACCCCCTCCGGCTGTATGTGGGGGGGGGGGGGGGTGGGGGGGCACCCTGAGTTCTCCCTGAGTGAGGTCATCCCAGGAGGCCACCATCACATTTTCCTCCCAGCCTCAGAAACGTTACCAGGCAAGTCACACTTACTGGGTTCCCGGTAGCTCCCTGCAGGTGCCAGCGAGGAGAGAAAAGAGAGAAGGTGAGAGTGTGCTTGGGAAGTCAAGCCCAGGCTCCAGTTCAGGAAGCATGAGGATGCCCCAAGCAGAGACCCTTGGGATGCAGACCTCACACTCCCCGACCTGAGCTGCTGATCTCTTCCTGTACTGGAGTGCTCTCACCTGGGGAGTTGAAGACAGGGGGCGAGGAGGGATTGAAGCCCACCGACTCAGCAATGAGGGTGTTGTAGGGGCTGGTGCCCCCACGGGGCTGTAGCACGGGGTTGGTCAGCAGGTGGTTCCCCATGGTACCTGTCCAGGACGTCAGAGGTCACAAGGTGGCCCAGAGACACTGGTCTAAGAACCTTGAGGGATAAAGTGAAGGGCGAGGGATGCCGTCTCACCTCTGTTCAGGGTGGGGGTACTGTTGATGTCGCCTGCCATGAAGGAGGACTCCGTCTGTTTCCTCACGGTGTCGTTCCACATCCTCCGGATTCGGCTCTGGGGACATAGCCTGGACGTGAGGGGGCCCCCGGGGCGCCCACCCTCCAGGATCTTTCTGAGGTCACTCGCCTGATGAGCACCACCAGGGACCCGGGCTGAGTGCTGCCTTGCCTCTCGGGCTTGTGGGTGCAACACTCAGCCCCAGGGAGCCCTGCCCGGTGCCCTGGCCCCGGCCCAGATACCTGGGTCCCTGTGTAGTAGCGGGTGTTGCTCCGCATGGCTGAGGTCTTCAGTGAGCCGTGAGCGCCCCCGGGGGGGGAACGGATGCAGCAGTAGGAGTGACGCAGGCACTTGCTGTACTCCTTGTGCACCTGGGTGGGGAGGAGGACAGGGAGCTGGCAGTGGGTGCCCCGTGAGCCTCTCCGTCTCCCGTCCCACCACGGCCAGCCAGCCTCTCTCGCTGCTCAGGCCCAACCTCCTTTCTCCACATCCACTGCTGGGTTTCTCATTTGTTCACACGACAGATCTTTAATGAGCATGTGCCGTGTGCCAGGGAGAGTTTAGGCCCCAGGAATGGCATAGAACAAATCAGACCCACGGCTCTACCTCTGAGAGCTAGTACCGTGGTAGACAAAGACACACATAGATGCAAACGTCGGCACGTCGTGTGGGATGTTTGATGGTGTCAGGTGCTGTACAGACAACTATGACTGGGAAGGGGGTTGGGCCGTGCTGTGGGTTGGGGGTGTAGTGGGGTGTCTGTGATTTCAAATAGACCAGGGGGAGCCTCCCTGAGGAGCCCTCTCAGCAAAGATCTGAAAGAAATAAGGCAGCAGACCTTGTGGATAGGTGGGGAGGAGCAGGGACAAGCCCTGAGGAGGGTCCGTGTCTAGGTGTTCGAGAGAAAGCAGAGGAGAGCATGGCTGGAGGGGAGGAGAGGGAGGCCTGGGGAGGAATGTGCGAACCTGCGGCTGCTGTAAGGGTGTCGCTGTCACTGTGCGTGAAGTGGGGGCCGTGCGAGGATGTTGGCTTTGGCTGTGTGCCACGGGGGCGGCAAGGGGGTCACACTGTCCCTGCGTATCCAACGCAGGCCCCAGGGTCTTGCAGCAGCGATCTTGCGATCCCTGCTTCCTCTGTCCTCTGCTTCAGCCTTCCCCGCTTCACTGTCCACCTGCCCCCACCACTGTCTGGGGCTCCCTACTCCCTTGAAGACGAAGTCTACAAACACCTTGGTTCGGGTTCCCCAACTTTCGTCTAGAGCTTACTGCCTGTACACCCTCTCCACACTCGTCTGCTTCTGTGATCTCCTTCATATATATATTTCTTCATGATTCAGATTTTCACACATTTGAAAAGGAAACTGTTACCACAAAACTCACAGTTCACCTCCCAACTACTGAAGTAGAAACGTTCTGTCTGGGTGGTACTCAGTCCTCTCCCTCCTACACCCTTGATTTGTGCCCCACGCTGGGGGGTGGGGGGGGGTGGGGGTGAGGTTGATCCTCTGTCACCATCCTGCCCTGTGCTCTCCCAGCTCCCCAGACCTGTCCTGCTTTCTTGCTCTCCCGTGTTGCCGTATCTTGCTCTTTTCCAGAACCACCTTCACCCCTGCCTAAATCCTTCCTGACCCCAAGCCTGCTCTCCCCTCACAGCAGACACAGTGCCACTGCAGAAGGCAGGCACCTGCACCCCTCCCCTGACCTCACCTTCTTTTGTAAGGCGCAGTGAAAGACAAAGATGAAGACCCCCTGGAAGGCGTTGAAAGTGGTGAAGAGATAGGCCATGACCACCGACTCCTTATTGATGAAGAGCAGGCCGAAAGCCCAAGTGAGACCCAGCAGGAAGAGCAGCGCGATGGCCCCCAGGGCCCAGGATCTGGGGAGGGGGAGAGGGAGAAGGGATATCAAAGTCCCTTACAGTGGAGAAACCCTGCCCCGTAGCCCTGCTGCGTGTCCCTCTTCAGGCGAGCCTCGATGCCGTCTGCAAAGACCCACCTAGGATGCGTGGGCCTTGGGGGGAATGGCCTGCACAGCCGTACTTTCAACCAGCCCGGGCCCGAGGTCGGGGTTTGGGGTTTTGCAAAGGTCAGTCGTTAGCCTTCACCCTTTGGTCCGTGTTTCCAGACCCTTAAACTGTCTTTTGCTGCCTATTTCTCTGTAAGTTTTCTTGAGGTGGACTTACCTTTTGCACTTAGCCTTACACTAACCAGCTATGTCTCCAAGAGCACAGGTTAGATGTGTTAAATCCCGCGTTTTCCAATACTCATTAAGTAGATATATAACAGGCACAATAAAACACCACATTTGTCCTTAAACTGACATCGTGTGGTACTGAAAGTGAGAGCACCACATTTTAGGAAGCCCCGGGAGAGGCCAGGCCCAGTATGGAGACATCAGGGGCAGGGGTGTGCAGAAGGGTTGCTCACTTAATGTTGTCGAGGCGACTGGAGTCGGGCTTGAGCACAGATGAGCTCCGGATCATCTTGTGCAGGGTCACCATGAGGAACACCAGGTTCACCTGGGGGTGGGACAAGGGGAGGGGCTAGGCTACACGTGGTACTGGCTAGGCTAGGGGTCCCTCCACCTCCCATTGTGAGCTCCTGGCCAAGTCTCAGTCTCAACCCTCCTCCTTCAGGGCTGCCTCTGCCAATGTACCTGTGCTCAGGTGTCTGCTGACTGGTAACAACTGTTAATGTGGCTCCTGCTGCTGGGAGGACAGGGCCCACACCTGACACAGGCAGGGGCTCAAATCACAGTGCCTGGATGGATGGGCCTCGGTGCTGGAGCTTTATGGACCTGCTATGCTCTTGTCCTCTTGGTTGGCTGCTCGGTTTCAATGGTGGTCAAACCAGCCCTCCCAAGGCTCGGGGGGGAGTGGGGGGTGCTCAGGGGTCAAGGCTAGCTTGCATGAAGAACGGAGACGTGGTACTGGCGGGTACCACCTTCCTACTTACCACGATAACAAAGGAGACTGGCCCGATGAAGCTCCAGATGAAATAATTGTCCACTCGGAGCCAGCAGCTATAAAGGAAGTGGGGCTGGGGTAGACAAGAGGCGGGAAAGCCCTCCCCCCTCCTGGCCTTAGATCTCAGGAGGAGGGAGGCCAGTGCCCTGAGGGTCCTGGCCTAAGAAGTACTGCTGAGCAGAGAGCCAGGCAGGAGGAAAGACTTGGGGGGTGGGGGGTGGGAGGAGGAACACTCACGCCTTCTCGGTGCCATAGCTGCGGTAGTCAATGGCAGCTGCGATGCCCACCACCAGTGCCGGGAAGCAGTAGCCCCCCAAGTAGTAGTACTTGGTACGGGAGTACTCGCTCTCAAACACTTCCACCAGCAGCAGATAGAGGTGCACACCCTCCAGGCACAGCCAGGAGAAGGCGGCCAGGAAGAAGTAGTGCAGCAAGCCAGCGAAGATGGGGCAGGCGATCTGGGGGCAGCGGGGACGGGGACCACAGGTGAGGAGCCACCCGGGCCGGCGCCGCCTCTCCTCCCGCCTGCCTCTGTCCCTGAGCCCCAGCCCACCTCATACTGAGTCTTGTCGATCCCGACCAGGAAGAGCAGCTCAGCCAGGAAGAGGTTGATGCACAGGTTCTTGTGGATGGTGTTGCGGTCGGTCTGCAGCCCCCGCAAGAAGCAGAAGGTAGAGATACAGATGGCCAGGCAGACGAGGGAGATCACGATGCCCACCCAGGTGATGACCGACAACAGCAGCTCATTGATGCGGCCCTGGTACTGGGGGATTGGGGGGGGCACTCAGCACCTGTGGCCTTCGTGTAGCCAGGCTCACTCTGGGCTCAGCCAGGTACTAGTGGCGAGCAAGGCCATAGGTCACGGGCACCACCAGTGCTGCCCATCTGGCCTTCTGCCCCCTGGCCGGCTCGCCGGCCCCCACCCTTCTGCGGCTGGCACGCTCGCTTCCTCATGCTCTGGAAGGCTTGTGGAGAGATGACGAAGGTGACACCGACTTGCTTCTCCAGAGAAGGGAGAAGGTGGGACCGTGACCAGAAAGAACCAGACATACGGCCTCATGCCCCAGGCAAGACTGGTGGCCCCCCTCCTGCCCACATGCCCACGAAGCTGGCCTTCCCTGCACTGTCCATGCAGTGCTCTCTCTGCCATGCAAGGCCAGGAGAGCAGGTGGGCCTGCCCAGAGGAGCGGAGCGCCAGCCAGCTTACGATCTCGTGGTGGGCCATCAGCACGGCGAAGTTGGTGAGGTGGCTGCAGGCACACGTGGTGTGGGTCTTGTTGGACTCCACCAGGCGGCAGCCCTGGGTTGACCAGTAGCCCAGCATGGAACGCTCCGAGTAGTTCCAGAAGGAGCAGTTAGCATTGAAGTGGTTCTTGGCCTGTCGTGTGGTGGCGGCCGGGAAGTCAGGTCCAGGGAATCCCGTTCTGGCCCCCACACCCAGCTCCCGGGATGGTGACAAGCATGAGAAAAGGGGCCGGGGCTCCAGGTGACGGTCTGGGGTCTCTGGGGACAAATGGCCCAAGCTGTTGAGATGGAGGCCGGGGGACCGGCGTCCCAGAAAGGGATCGTAACTTGTTCTTGGGGTGGGTGAACACATAGTGGGGAGAATATGCAGGCTGGGAACATGGAAGGTGGTGGGACCCCCACAGAGGGAGGGGGATGCCTCAGCTCACCTCCAGGTGGGCCACGGTGAAGATGACAGGGTCCATGAGAAAGACTCGACTGGACTCCTTGTTGATGGACGCCGCGATGACCTGCGAATTCACCACCAGGGAGGCGCCGCCTGGGCCACCTGTACCTGCTTCACCTGCCAGCTTCACTGTGGCGTTCTCGGTGGACAGGAAGAGACCCAGGTTGTTGTAGAGGATGAAAACGACTTTGACCACACCTGGGGACGATGGGCATGGCAGGGCGAGCCATCAGTCCTCGGCCAGCACACCACCCCCCCCCCCAAGCCACACCGGCCAGCGGGACCTCCGGAGCCAGGCTGTGGCCCAGGTGAGGGGGGCTTGGGGAGCCCTTCTGTGTACCATTGTTCAATTAGTTGTAAACGGTTCCAAATGACAGGGCCGTGTCCCCAGCCCCACCTCATTTGCTGTGTTACCTTGAGGAAATCCCCATTCTCTGAGCCTTAATCTCAAATGGGACAGACCTCCCTGAGTTATGAGAGTAGACTGCTTTTACACAGGAGTGAGCCCGGCAGACTGCAAAGTTCCTGTGCTGTGGGGCTTTGGGGTGAGGTGGGGGGGCGGGAGGGAGGACTCCACGAATCCCCTGAAATATTATGCTAGCTTGAATACAGGACAGTCTTGTGTGTTGTGGGTCCCACCCTTTTCTCGGATTCTTCAAAACCACTAAAATTTAAGAACTGATGTTTTTTGCCAGTGAAGCAGGGATGCCAGCCCAGGGTTTGGGCACTGACCGTTGCGGCTGTTCTGCTTGATGGTATTGGCGGACAGCTGGATGGAATTCTCGCTTGGGTACTCCTGGGGGAACACCAGCTCCTGCACTTGGCCCTCGGTGTTGAGGACTGTCACCTCCAGGACTGTGGGGACAGGGGATGGCAGGACAGATGTGGCTGCGGTCTATCCCCAGTCCAGAGGCCCAGCTATGGCAAGAGGCCCAAGGCCAGGGCATCCCCCGTGGTCTCTGGGCTGCAGCCCTCACAGTTCAAGATTTGCACCTGAACTTGCCCTGGTCATGACTGCAGCACTCACCCACATTCTGCTTGGCAGCCAGGAAGCGGGCGGGCTCCCTGACATTGTCGGCCAGCAGGAAGGCACCCTCCTCCAGGACATCCAAGAGCATGGTGGCTGTGTGCACCTGCTCCGTAGCGTTCATGTCCTTCCAGGATTCCAGAGCCTCTGGCCGCAGCAGGTTGTCCACAGTCTCTACCACAGCCTACACAGGCGAGGGGGTGGCATTGTGATTCCCCCCACGTCCTCCAGTTCCTTGGGCTGGGCGCTGCATCCCTTCTCTCAGCCTCCCGCCCCAGTGCTGCCTGGGGCGTGCCCAGAAGCCATGAGGGCTGTCTCACCAGCTCTCCCTCCCCCTGCTGCTCGGCCTTGGCCAGCAGGAGCCCTCTGGGCCTCACCTTGATGTAGTCTTTGCAGGTTCTCTCCCGCTTGTGCATCTGGGAAAAGAGAGAGAGGTGCTGTCCTTTCCCTCCCCGCCCAGCCCCCCAGGCTGACACGTCCGGGCCCCAGATAGGTTGCTTTTCCGCAGCTGTTACCGACCCAGGGCTGGGCCACGAGCAAGACCTATTCCTAAGGGACCCCCAACCCTAAGGACCATCCAGGGCAACTCGAGAGGAAGATCCAACATGCCTAGGACCGGTCCTCTCTGACCACCATGGGTGGCAGTCCAGCGTGCAGGTACCAGGCTGGCTCTTCTTGAACCCTCAGGGCACTGCCCCACCCTGTTGGCCCCACTGCCACGCCCCACCTTGTTGTAGTTCTTGCCAGCTGACTCGCGCTCAATGGGCCGCAAGGCCTGCAGCTGGGCGTCCAGAATATCCAGTAGCTGCTCCATCAGCTTCACGGAGGAGGACACGTCACCCGCATAGATGGAGCCTCGGGTGTGACGGGCTAGCTCACTGGCAATGTTGGCTGCATTCTCCCCACTCTTGATCTGTGTGAGGTGGGAGTAGGGGCCCCCGGCTACCTCAGAGACCATCCTGCTTCCCGCATGTTCCCTTTTAACATGCCCAGCCTGCTTGGCCCCTCTCCTCCCTCTCTCTCTGGCCTCTTTGCCCTCCCCATCCGTCTCTGTTCCCGCAGTAGGCCAGGGAGGGGACCCCACACAGTCCTGGCTCCCAGACCTGCCGGCCTATTTGTCTCCCCAATTGCTCTACTGCCCCCAGTGCGCCTTGTGCCCGGCCACCCAGGGCCCAGTGTGCAAGCAAATGTGCCAGTCTGGAAGGGGCAGCTGCTGCTGGTACCTTCTGGGCCACCTGGTTGACCCAGGGGGAGGTGCAGTTGCTGAGGTCAGGGCCCCGGGGGTTCCAGAGCCCCAGGGCTGGTAGACACTGGAAGGAGGCAATTCCTGCAGGGACAGACAGGAACAGAGAAGGGAGCCACAGGGAAGGAGAGGAGAAGGGGCCACAGCAGGGAGAAGAGATAACAGAGGAGAACAAGTAGGTGAAGGAAACACGGAAGACCAGACATGAAGAGGGCCGGACAGTCAAGAGAGACATCACTCTGAGGTGACGTAAGCCACCCCTCACTTCTCAGCTCCCCCTCTTGCTTCCTCCTCCTTCCATCTTTGCCCACCAGAAATGGAACTTTCTAGCAAAGTCCATCTTGGAAGCCCTCCCTCTCCCTGAAGCCTCTTCAGACCCTCCCCTTGGATCGCTCCACTTGGAGCACGGGGTCCTGCCTCCCCCCCGCCCCGCCACAGGGCACTCGAGCTGCTCTCTGTGCTGCTGCTACTGGCTGCTCCAGGGCCCAAGTCACCTCCTGTGGGCTCCCTTCACGGTCTGCCCGGCACTGCAAGAGGGGACAGGGCAGGGGGACTGACTCACTGAGCTGCTCCTGTGCCTTGAGAGCACGGCTGCAGAGGTCAGGCATGACCCCTGTCCTCAGAAAGCCCATGCTTGGGCGTGGAACGTGAACAAGGGAGTGTGCCTGGGCCAAGCTGAGTGGCGGACACGTTCCCGACCCCTTCCCCGGCCAGACCAGATTTGGCCACTCCCCAGGCCAGCCACAGTGAGGCAGCCGCAGCCTCTGTACTCACCTCGGGTCCCCTTGGGGCAGGGCCTCTCCACCAGCATGCCCTGCTGGGTGGCCGGCCACTGGACCCGCCGCACCTCTCTAGGTTCACAGAAGAGCTCTGGGGACACGTGCAGGTTGGGGGCTGGGGGCCGCCGGGTGCTGGGAGCTGGGGCTGTGGCTGGAGGCAGGTCAGGTCCCAGCTGGTTGATGGCACCCACAGGGTGTGTGGTGAGGGGCACCCGGCGGAGCGGGGTGGTGGCTGCGGGCGAGGCCGTGCTGGTGAGGGGTGTGGGTCGGGCTGTGGTGGTCGTGCTGACAGGTGGGGAAGTGGCTGGGCCTGGAAGCGAAGAGGGTATCCAAGGCAGAGTCACCCCTGTGCCCAGGATCCTGCCGTGGTGTGCCCAGGCACGGGGTCTCTGGCATTCTAGCATGTTCCCTAAAGTGGGAGGATGTCTTGGTCCCCACTGGGTCTGGGAGATTTCCCCTGGCCTCTCTCTACCCCCAAGACCACCAGAAACATCAAAAGGCAGTAAAAATCCACTTGAGTATACCCTGAGGTGTGAGAGAGCAACCAGAGAGCACAGGCCAGGAAGAGGATGTCACAACACAGCCACCTGCCATCCCCGTTCCCCTCTCCGGCCTCTGTGACCTGGCCGAATCCTGGTGGAGGCCTCAGATCCCCATTTTGCCAATGAGGTTGGATTAGATGGGGCTCCCTGGGGCTGCTCAGAGCTGGCTGAGGGCAGCTGAGAGAGCAAAATGAGATTGCCCAGGGACACTCAGTCCTGGCGTCTTTACTGACCCCAGGCTTTCACCCAAGATTTTGGGCCCAAAGTGCCCAGGCCCCTGGGCCAGGCGGGGGGATGACTTAGTGGTTAGGAGCTCAGAGCCCTGGATATAGACCGGCAGAGAAGTAAGCACACCCCTACTACCCTCCCAGTGCTTCAGTTTCTGCACCTTACGTAAAAAGGCAGGAACGATCCCCGCCCCATAAGCCGTGACGACGACCTGAGAGGCTGAGACCAGCCTCTGTCCCGCACTATTTGGCTTTGACCTCCCCGCTGTCAGCACGCAGTATACCCCCACCCCACGCCAAGCAACCAAGGAGGCAGAGCCCAGGGCAGCCAAGCCTACCCGCACTGGGGTCGGGCGGCCCGAACTCCAGGCTGTAGCGCACCACAAAATAGTTGTTCCAGACGTAAAGCTGGTTGTCGCGAGGGTTGTAGTCCACGGAGGAGACGAACTGGTAGGGGTTGGGGAAGGCCAGGCTCACGGGCTCCTCGCGGTTGGCGTTGGTGTTGAAGGCGTAGTCCACGCGGTTGCCCGCCGCCTCGCTGTCGTCGTCCACGTACACGGAGCGCAGCACGTACAGGACCCCGCACACCATGAAGGCGTTGGACGCCGAGCGCTTGTCGTAGCCGGTCTCCCACGTGCCCTCGAAACGCAGCGTGTAGGGGTTGAGCTGGCTCACCACCAGGCGCCCGTTGTTGCCCTCGGTGGCGTAAATGACCCACAGCCCGTTCTCGTCCACAGCTAGGTCGATGTCGGTCTTGCCCCCCCAGCGGTAGGGCGAGGTGTCGTGGTAGTTGGCCGTGTTGATGACCGTCTCCCCGCTCTTGATGCGCGTGCGCAGGTCGTACTTGACGATGTTGCGCGTGCGCTCCTTGTTGTAGAAGACGGCGCCGTCGTAGACCACGAAGCCCGTGCCGTCCACGCGGTTGGGCAGGCGGTAGGTGGTGGTGTGGCGCGCGGCCACGTAGTCCTCCCACGAGGCGTACTCGGTCAGCGTGTCCGTGCGGTAGGGGATCCAGGGCATGACGTAGATACGGTCGCCCGCCTGCAGCGGGTCCTTGCACCAGGCGCCAGACTGGTGTTCCGACTCGTGAGTGGAGGTGGGCTCCAACACCTTCTGCAGGGTCCCTGGGCACACGAAGACTGGGCCGGGCGGATGGGAGGGCAGGGAAGACATGGGGAGAGGAGGCGCAGAGGCGAGGGAGGGGGAGAGAGAGAGGCAAGTTGGTCACGCGGCCTGGGGTAGCCAGGCTGTCCCCTCCTGCTGCTGCAGTCACGGTTGCTTGGTAGGGCTGGTGATGGGAAGGGGGTTTCCGGGCTGGGACCCCTGCCCTGCCCAGCTGCCCCTCTCCCTGGAGAGGTCAACCCTGGAGGCCATTAAGAGCAGGGTTAGTGTGTGGGGTGGTGGTACCCCTCTCCTTCCCTGGCTGCTAGAGACCCCACGGGCTGGGGATAAAGGGTTTGGCAAGAGCCCTCCCAGAGTCGTCTTCGTGTGCCTTAAGTGGGGGCGGAAAGATCTCCTCACTGCAGCCACTGGTGGCTTTGAGGCTCCAGGGACTCAGTGCCCTGCTCCTTTACCATTGTCACAGCCCCCTACGGAAGAGCTATGGGTCGAGGGTCCCATCCTTCACCAACCACACCAGGACAGATTTTTTTTTTTTTTTTAACTCTTTCTCCCCTCTCCCCCAACCCCCCACAAAAATTGCAAGGTAGAGCGATGTTTCCGTACCCACAGTGGGTGTCAGGAGTGCCCCCCTATTCCAGGGCGGAGGAGGCACCCAGGGTTCCCGATGCAGCCTGTGCCCCCACCCCCCACCCAGTACCCACGAAATCAGCAGGTGAGGAAGGGTTTTTGGAAAAATCCAGCCCCTCTCTGATGGTGCCCCGCCCTGCCCCCAGCCGGCAAGGTCTCTCGTGGGGTTTGTTCAGCAGCAGACACTGACACTGGTGCACAGGGGTGGGGGAGGTTGGGGGACATGGGAAAGGAGGGGGCTTCCCGGGAGAGTTGGGGGGGGAAGGAGAGCTGCGTGGAGGGAAGAGAGACAAGGGGGGGGGGGGCCTCGGCGAGGTCCTGGCTCCAAGGGAGGCACGCTGGAGACCACCTGGGAAGAAAGGGTTAGTGCTGGCGAGGAGAGAGGGGTGAGCAGAGAATTCACTCCAAGGCCCGGGCCCGACTGAGGGTCCCTCGGGGGGGCAGTCCCAGGTCCAGCTCAGAGGGGGCAAGGGAGGGAACCAGGAGCTAGGATAAAGACCCAGCCCGCCCCAGCCGGCCCGCCCCCTCCCCTGCCCCGGACCCCGATTTACCTGCGACCATCCCCGGCTCGGGAGGAGGGACCAAGGCACCGCTGATGTCAGAAAGGTGGGGGGCCCCGCCCCACCCCCCCATTCCCTGAAAAGGAGGAAAACCTCAACTGCATCTCGTTGGCCGCCGCTGGCCTGCCCACCCTTGCCCCGTCACACCCCGGTGCCACCTACTCCTAGCCTCCCCTCACCGACCCGGTAGGGGTCTGGACTCAGGAGTGGGGATGTCCAGACGCCCCTCCCTCCAGGATGGCCGGGCCTCCCTCTCACCTCCCTGCTGGCCGAACCCACACACAGGCCAGGGTGAGGGTTTGCAGTGAATTCTCTGCTCCTGCTTGGCCTGTCACCAAAGCAGCTGGCCCCAGGGGGAACAGGGAGGGCTGGGACCTGGTGCGGGCTTGGGGGGCAGCCCCGGTGGCAAGAGGGTCTTGGACAGGCACCACTCCTCACTCCCCCACGTCCAGCCTCTTCACCAGGCTTGGGTGGGGGGATGTCCAGCCCTCCCTTCACAGCATCAGGGACGGCTTGGCCCGAGGGTCCCCGGGCACAAAGCAGCCAGGAGCACACCCTGTTTTAGGAGGGGGAGGGGAGCCTGGGACACAGACGTCAGCAGGGACCAGAGGGATCCTGGCTTGCGCCCTAGGGCTCCACCATCTCCTTGTCCCCAGTGCCCTGAGGGGTTGGCCTGCGCCCTGTGTCCCGCACACCTGGCCTCCAGCTTTTTCCTCTGTGCCCAGGTCTCCCCTCTCCCCAAGCCAGGACCCCTGCCAGCTCTGTGGCCCCTGAGCAGATGTGTCTGTGTGTGTGTGTGTGGGGGGGGGGGGGGGGGGGGGGCGGCCCCCGAGGGGAGGCCTCAGAGCCTGACCTGGTCAGAAGGGTGTGGAGGAGGAAAACGTGGTTAGAGGTTACCCCGGGGAAGGGGGAGAAGATGAGGAAGGGTCTGCCTGGGGCCTTTGACAGCAAGGACCCCTCCCCAGCACCAAGCTCCCAACACCTCCTCTTCCCTCCCCCCTTCCCCCCCAGCCCCCCCCCACACACGCCCCAGCCCCCCCCGAAGAGAAAAGATCCAGGGCTGCAGGGTCCAAACCACCACCGGGCCTGTAAGAAGAGTGTCTCAGGGAGAGAGAGGGAGAGAGTGGCGGGGCAGTGAGGGTCGGGGGCCTGGGCTGGCTGCCCAGGCCTCTCTGAGGTGGGGGAGGGCAGGGGGAGGGGAGCAGCTCGGAGGGACCCCGCCCCACCTTCCTCAAAGGGATGCTCCACAGACCACCGTAATTTCAAGGCAAAAAGCGACCCCGAAAGGATGGCTCGCCCGTGGCCAACCTCAAAGCTGTCATTTCCCCCCAAAATTCAGGGGAGCGCTGGGCCATCTCCAATATCCCACCCACCCTCGAAGTTCTTCGGCGGCAGTGTGCCCCCCCCCGCCCCCCCAACACCAAAGGCCAGAGAGCTCCACCCCACCTTGGAGTTTTCCCCTTCCCCTGCTGAAGGTTAACCCTGCAAGAAATTACGGTGCTCACGGAAGTCCCCAGACCAGGCCTGTACCTCCCCCAACCCCCCTCTCCCTGGTCCTCTAACCAAAACAGCCCAGAAGAAACCCTGACTGCAGCTTTGCAAGTGTTTCAGAACCAGAGAAAACGTTCCCCCACCCCGCGCTCCCCCCACAGCGAGGCCCACCCCCACCCCTTCCCCCCCAATTTGGCAGACTGCCCTCCCAGGGCTGGGGACAGCTGACATCCCTCCCCAGGGCTGGGCCCCCGGCTGGTCAAGGATGGGGGTTGGGGGTGGGGGAAACTGGTGCTCCGTGCTCCAAAACAGCTCTGGGCCTTGGAAACGCCAAACCAGAAGGAACTTATGCCACCAGGAGCCCGAGAGATAGAAGGAATCTGCTCCCCCAAAGGAAAACAAAGGTGTCCCCTCCATCCCGCCTCCCCTGAGCCAGACACGTGTTACAAAAGTTGGGGCAGGAAGCAAAGGAGAGAGACCCGGTGCACTCTGCCCCCAGCTGGGAGCCAGACAAGGGGGTCCCTCCCTCCCCTCCCGCCCTGGATGCTTACACACTTCTCCTGAAGGAGGCAAAATAAGTATGAGAGAAGGCCAGGTCCCCCCTGCAAGGGCTGGGACGAGGGAGGAGGGACAGGGAGAGACAGAAAGAGAGAAAAAGAGGCAGAGAGAGAAAGAGAGAGAGAGAGAGAGAGAGAGAGACAGAAGGTCCTGCCCGTGCTCAGAGAGGAGCTTCCTCGGGTGTCTGGAGGGTGGAGTCGCCCGTGGCGGCACCAGGGCTGGCCCCACCGGGAGGACACCCGGGGTGGGGGGTGGGGAGAAGAAGGGGCTGAGAGGGGAGGGCGGGTCACATAAGTATGGTACAGGTAAGAACAAAGTGTGAGTTAGGGGTTAGCATTGGTAACAGTGCGTTTACCTTTCTGCTCCACTTCTACTTTAAGCATCGGAAGAGAGAGAGAAAACAAATTGAAAAAAAATGTGCAAGAAAAAAAAGAGAAAAAAAAAGATTAAATTGCTTTCGTTTCTTATCTGGCAACATGCCCCCTTTTCCTTTCTTTCCTCATCCTGGTTCCCCAACCCCGAAACGTAGCATCAGCTCAGCCCCCGCCCCCAAGTCCCTTCCTCTGGGGAGGGTGTCGGGGGAGACAGTCACAGGGAGGGGGAGACACGCGAGGACAGAGACCAAGAGAGACACGGGGGGGGGGGGGGTGTGTGTACAAACAGGCAGGTGGACGGAGCCCTCAGATGGGTGGGAGCACCCTCGGTGCAGTGGGGGTCGGGGAGGGGGTAGCTTCAGCTGGAAGGTAGGCTCTGGTTAGGGGAGCACCAGGGGCGAGGGGGTGGGGAAGAGCCACACGGGTCCCCTCACACCCTGCCTGCTGCCCTCCTGCTAGAACCAGGGGCCCAGGGGGAGGGGGTTCAGTGCCTCCAGGGGCCTGGGCGCCCCCAGCTGAGAGAGCATGCTGAGCTCCTTCCCTTTCTGTGCCGGCCGCGCTAGAGTCCAGCCGAGCTCCCCCAAGCCCTCGCAACCCAGAAGAAGCCAACACAGAGAGAGAGGGCGGCAGAGTGGAACACAGAGTGACGGAGAGGCAGACAGGCAGAGCCCCTGGGCCTCGGAGAGCCGGTTGGGGGAGACAGAGGCAGAGAAGGAAGAGGCTGGGGTGGGGGAACATCACAGACAGCAGGTGGGGGCACAGACACGCTCCCACGCTCCCCAGCTCCCCCGGGGCAAGCCTGTGGCTCCGTTTGTCTGCCCAGCCCCCCCACCCCCGGGGGCCCGGGAGCCAGGAGCTCCCTGTCTGCTGCCCGGTGGGCGGGCGCACCTAGGGGAGGAAGGGGCACGGTTAGAATGTGCTCAGCTGCAAGGCAAATCCAGCGTTAGTCGGGCCTGTCTGGGTGTGTGTGTGTGTGTGTGTGTGTGTGTGTGTGTGTGTGGTGGGGGGGGGGGAGTCCCACACACCCACTGCCCCCTCCCCACGGTGGCCCCTACACCCACCCCTGACTCGCCCGCACCAGCACTGGGGTCACCCCAGCCTCTGAAGCCCAGGGCCACGTGGCTGCCCAGGCTGCTCCCCCTTCAGGCTCTGTGTCCCTGGCCCCTCAGGAACTTCTGGCCGGGGCCTTGCTCCCCTGCCGCCTCTCTACAGGCACAAGCAGGGAGTCCCCAGGGGAGTGTTTGGCTTCCTTCCCAGCGCCTCATCCAGGGCCTGGCACACAGGAAGTGCTCAGCGAACAGGAACATCGCGGGACGAGTGAGTGCCCGCCTTCCTGTTCTCTGGCCTAGCTACCCTCACCTTGTTAACTGAAGTCCCCACTTCTTCTGGAACCAGGAGCTACACCCCCACACCCCTGGGTCCTGCCTGTCGAGGGCACACACGGCCCCACGTGTCCCACACACGTTCACTGCGCGTCCTGCCTCCCCCGGGGCTCAGGCTAGCTCTCTCCCCCGGGGCCGGAGCTGCCCATGCTTGGGCCATCCAGGTCTCCGTGGGCCGTGCCCCCTGGCCCACCCTCGGGGGCCGGGGGGGCGGTCAGCTTCAGGAGGCCCGCAGGCCTCTTTCCTCCCTATGCCGCGTAACTTTTCTCCTGCTTCTTCACCCACGTGGCGTGCACTTGCTTTGGACTCGACTCGGACCAAGGTCTTCTTTTCCTGCCCTTTATCTCACCTACCTCAGGGAGGAGTTGTGTTCGTCACCAGTCATTACTTTTGGTTTTGATTACCAACGGCAGTAACGTTGACTGGCAAAAATCGCTACAAGTAGCCACGACAAAAGCCATGGCTGCCAAGTACCTAGCACTTGGTAAGTGACTAAGTGCCAGGAGCTGTGCTAGGAACTTCCCAGGTAGTTTTTCAAGAGCCCTGTCTGCGGATGGGGAAGCTGAGGCTCAGTGAAGTGAAACGACACAACTGAGGCCACGGAGCAGCTGGCAGAAGCGGGCACCGTTTCTCTGACACCTATGGTGCGGGGCGCACGAGGCGCTTCACCCACGTTCTGTCTACTGCTGGCCGCATCCCTGGGAAGGGGCCCCTCCCGCCGTCACAGACGAAGGTGCAGGCTAAGCTGGCTCGGAAGGGCACCCGAACCCTTGCTGAGCACGTCCTGAACCAGGCTCGGGTCTGGGCGCTGGGGCATGAAGACGAAGCCTCTGCCCTGGGGGAGTTTACACCCGCACCTGCCACAGGGAGCCAGCTCTGCGGCCAGCCTCAGGTCAGGCGTTTCACACACACCGACCGTCTCCTGGACTCTCGCCTCCTTTGGCCGCAGCTCAGAGGAGTTAAGTCATGTGCTCCAGTTTCAGAGTCAGAAAATCCAAGAACCAGGCCGAGCCGCAAACCCAGCCTGATTTCCCTGCTGTGCAATGCTCCCAGCCTCCCGCCTTCCTTCCCTGCTGCCCCAGCCACGGGGGTGGATGGGCAGTGTCCCCAGTGCTGTGGGGAGGCTTCAAAGATCAGATGGGCGTCCCCCTCAGGTGGCGGCTGGAGGCCTCCGTTGCTGAAAGGAAAGGGTGAGGAGTAAAAGAAGGTTATGGAAGCACATAGGTGATCCTGTTTCCCCCGGCCTGTACGCCATCACCTGCGAGGAGAAATCAAAGGTTGAGGGGGACGGCTGGGGTGGGAGGGCAGAGGAGGGAGAGTCACAGGGCCTCCTGCTCCCCTGCCCCTGCCCCCCACTCTCTGACACTCTGGTGGCCCTGCCTCCTCCCCCATCTGCCCGGAGGCCCTACCTCCAGGTTGGCTACATGAAGCTGGCAGGGAGAGGAGGGGAATGGATGATGGGGAGAAGGGAAGGCAGAGCGAGGGCAGGAAGGAAGGGCCACGTTAAGAGCAGAGCGCGGAGGAGGAGAGACCCTGTCTTTGTTTGCTCCCTTTGGCCAGAGGCAAGAAAGCCAGGCCCCTGGCTCCCCAGATCACCCTCCTCAGGCTTCCGGGCGGGGGGGGGGGGGGGGCACTCTAGTCCAACATGGCAGCACTTCCCTTGCAGACAGGAAGTGCTACCATGGTAATGGGCAAACTAACCAAGAGACAGTAGCCGAGGAAGATGCCCCTAGTCCTTCGAACCAGATCTGCCGCCAGGCCTCAGACGGTGGTCTGCCTCTCTATGGGTTTGGAGTCCAGCTTCCAGGACTGGGAAGGGGCAGGACTAGGAGTATGTGAGAAGTGAGGGCGACGAGAAAGAGGAGAGGGAGTTGAGAAAGGAAATGGAGAGGGAAGAGCAGGCGTGTAAGGGGGGGTCAGGAAAGGAAGAGATGTGAGAGGAGGAAGGAGGCAGAGAGGCTGGAGGGGAGCAAGGCCCAGGCCCAGGGAAAAGGAGACTGATAAGTGCACCGACCAGAGTTCTGGCCTTGAAGTGTGAAGTGAGCGAGGGGCATGTGCGGGAGCAGGGCTAATGGGCCAAGAGGTGGGGAAGGTGCCCTGGGGATGGGGACAAAGTCTGTGAGGGTGGGGGTGGGGGTGGGGGTGGGGCAGGTACCGAGTGTGGACAGAGGGGCTGGAGAAGAAAATGTGTGAGGGAGGGAGCAGGCCCGGCTGTCCCCCAAGTACCTGGTCCCGACTTGGCCCTGTGCGTGTGCGTGTGTGCGTGTGTGCGAGTCAAGGTGTCTCCTCCTCGCTTGCTTCTGGGAGGGGGAAGGGCCCGTGTCCGCACAAGGAACAAGATGACTCACTGTAGGGGACACAGTCGTACTGCACCTCCAGGTACTTGTAGGTCCCAGGACAGGGGTCGGGAAAGGCGTCAGAGCCGGCAACCACCACGCACTGGGTGCGGTTGTTACACCTGAGAGAAGAGACAAGGAGCTGAGATAAGACAGGCCTAGAACTGGGGGCGGGGGGGAGGGGGGGCGGCATCTAGGGCCGGGAGAGGAACGCGCCCCCCCCCAGGCTGAGAAGAAACTGTGGCGACCAGGGCCGGCGGCCTTGTGTGGGCATCATGTCCCGTTTCCTGCCTGCTCTCTCCTTCCCACCACACAGGTTTCTTCTGTTCTCAGCCTCAGGGCTGGGCCAGAGCTGCGCCCCAGAAACTGCCTCCCCGGCTGCCCTTCGCCATTTTCATCCCATCGGAGGGTCACGCCCGCCGTTACATCCTTGGCGTTTTTCCCGAATTGACCATAAGACGCGAGGCCACACGTGCGGGGACGAAGTGGCGTCTCCGCCAAAGTGCTGCTAACGAGACGCTCACGGCGCCTGTCTGCGTCCACCTCAGGCCACGTCTCAGGCGTACGTGTCTCGGCCTTTGGATGGCGCCGCTGTGACCACGTGCAGGTAGGACACGGGCAGTCTCTCGGCCTCGTGCGGAAGCCACTCTCAGTTCCCCGAGGGGACTCGGGAGTCCCCACCCACTGCCCGGGAGCCGGGCTAGCACGTGAGGGGACTCCCTAACGACAAAACGAGGTTTCTCCTCTGCTGTCTCTCCAACCACCCACCTCATCCCCCTGGCTCAAAACACAGAGCACTGGCCTCGGAAGGTTAAGTAGAGGGTTGCCCAGGACCCGGCAACTGCACCCCTAGCCGTGTTCCCAAAGACCCGGAAGCGGGCGCTCAAACAACTGCTTGTACGTTCACGGCAGGACCGCTGTCGCGAGAGCCAAAGTGGGGGAACAGCCCCACTGTCCGCTGACGGATGAACGGATGAGCCAAATGTCGGTCCGTGCCGTGGAACATTATTTGGCCATAAAAAAAAAAGAAAGAAGGTCCAGTGCGCCACCGTGTGGCTGAACCCCGGCAACGCTGTACTGAGCAAAAGAAGTCAGACCCAAGAGGCCACGTCTCAGATTCTCGCTCTATGAAACGTCCGGAGCAGGCAAATCCAGAGAGACAGAAAGCAGGTGGTGTCGAGTGGCGGGGGGGGGGGGCGCGGGGACTGGATGGGGTTGCCCTTCGGGGGTATGGAGATGTTCCGGAACCAGACAGGGGTGGTGGCGCACGTATTAAATAGCACTGAATTGTCCGCTTGAAGATGACGGACGGCGATATGTGAACGTCACCTCACTGTCCGGAAGAGAAAGGGGCCGGAGACCGCAGGTCCCAGCCTCCCCCTGCAGCTGGCCGTGCCCGGGAGGTGGCAAAGGGCCCACGGTGGCCTTCAAATGGGCTGGGTGCAGGGAGGCACCGAGACAGCGGGAGGCGGGTGGCCTTCTCGCCTCCCGTCTTGTTTAGGCCACTGTACGTGCTCTGGGGGCTGTCAGCCCTAAGCAGTTCGAGGAGCCTCCAGGTTTCAAGAGGGCAGAGCAACGGCCTCTTGCTCCCCGGGCCCCAGTAACCACACCGCGCAGCGTCCCCGCTTTTGGAAGTGAGAACCCGCGGACACCGGAACCGGGCCGGGGAGAACACTGCGGACGCCAAGGCCAGCGCTGAACGAACAAAGTGGGCAGTGAGAAACTTGGAGGCGGGAGGTGGGAGGAAAGGGATCCCCAAGGAGGATGGGGCGCAGCCTAAGCCAAGGTTGACACCATGCAGGGTGTCAGAGAGGGAAGGGGGGGGCAGGACCACTGGAGGAGGTGCACGTTTGAGAGAGAAAAGGTGGGAGGGAGGGAACGAGGTGGCTCCAGCCTGGCCCACCGGTCAGAGCCACCTGCCCGCGCCCATGCCTTGCCCAAAAGTCTCTGGAGGCTCTCAGTGACCCTGCCCCATGACTTATTCTAGAATCTTCTGCCAACATTCAAGAGGCTGCCGAGCTGGCCCCAGCCCTCCTCCCCTTCTTCAGTTCTGTGCTCTGGATCCTGGAGTGAACCTTATGCCCTCTCGGGCATTTAGCAAAAACTCAGTGAATGCCTCTGTATCTGGCTGGGGACAGCAGTGACAGACACAACGCCCTGTCCCCATGGGGCAAAGACAAAACGAACACAATAACAGAGGGAACTATTCTGTTCTACAGAACTGTGGCTAGAGGTCAGGGCTAGAAGATAAAGCAGGGAAGGAGCTAGGAAGTGGGGTGGGGGCAGTGATCTTAGGGTGGTCAAACAGGCCTCACCAAGAGGAGCATTAGGTGAGAAAATCTACGGAGGAGGGGAGGGAGGAGCCGTGCGGGTGTCAGGGAACGGCATTCCCGGCAGGGGGAACAGCCAGTGCCAAGACCCAGAGGAGGCCCGTGGCAGACGATGCCTGATGTATGTCAGGAGCAGGCAGGGCAGCCGGAGCCGAGTGAGCGAGGGGGAGCGTGGAGAGGGTGAGGGCCGGGAGAGGGGCACAAGGCACAGAGCGCAGGGCCTTGTGGGCCTCGGGGAAGACAGGCTTTCGCTCTGAGTGAGGTGGGTGCTCACAGGTACCCTCTGGCTGCTGCGGGGCGGGGGAAACAGACGGCAGCGGGCGAGACAGGGCAACCCCAGGGGGAGCTGTGGCCACGGAAGCAGTGGTCAAGTGTGGGCGTGGTTTGAAGCAGGAGCCGACCAGCTCTAACTGGACTTCTGCAGCAGGTGTGAGAAAGGCTTTGGCAGACCTGTCACACTCACACACAGCCTTGCACACTCAAGCACTCACTTTCTCTTACACTCACATGTGCTTCTGTCATCTGTGTTCAGGCTTCACCTCCTTGGGGAAGCCTGAGTGACCTCTGGGCTCTCCCTTGGAGCCTGTGACACCTTCACCCTGTCCTGCTCTTGTGTTTACACTGCAAGACTGCCCCTTCCCCCCCGACTAGTCTCGGGATGGGCTTCTGGAGGCTGGTGGGGAAGACGGGCCGGGTCTTACCGGCTGTTTGCACGGAACCTGGCACCTAGTAGGTGCTCAGGAAACCCGTGCGGAACGCACGGAAGGAGGACTGAAGGCGTGGACAGGGTGCCCTGACCAGGGGGGTGTTTATCCAGGGACCCCAGGGACTGTCCCCACCCCTCCTCCCAGGAGCCTGGTGGGGCCGGGGCCTCTCACCTCTGTGACATGATCTTGAAGGCATCAGGCAGGTAGCACTGCACGTTCTCCATCTGGAAAGGGTCGGCATCACAGATCTTGTCGTCTGTGCGCCCATAGTTGGCGTTCTCCACCATGATGACGTCGCTGCCTGGGCACCGCAGCTCGATGGGATAGCCTTCGCACGCCAGCTCCCGGCGCATCAGCCCGAACGGGAGCCCAGCCCGGCTCAGGCCTACGGGGAGGGAAGACCCTGCTGAGGAGGTCCCACCTCCAGCTTGGGCTGCATCCAGGAACCTCAGTTCTTTCATCTGCAAAACGGGCTTCCCAACGTGCCCAGCCGCGTAGTGAGGCCTCTGCCCTCAGCTCCTGGGGAAGTGCCTCCAAGCACCCGGAGCGTCCCGCCCGATGAGTGTCTTTGTTGACCCGGGGGCCTCGGGCCAGGTCAGACAGTCTGCACTGTTTTGGGCTGAGTTGTGTCCTCCCGTCCTCCTCCCTCGTACCTCAGGATGTGACCAAATTTGAAACAGGCCATCAAGTTAAGATGAGCCGAGCCTGTTAAGGTAGGCCCTGCCCCAGTATGACCACTGTCTTTATCAAGAGGGGAAATGTGGACACAGAGACAGAGGGAAGACAGCCAGCCACGAGCCCAGGAAAGAGCGGGAACAGCTCCTTCCCTCACGGCCCTTGGAAGGAGCCAGCCCCCCTGACAACTTGATCTTGAACTTAAAGCCTCTAGAAACCGCAAGACAATAAACTTCTGCTGTTTCAAGCCACCAAGTCTGCGGTACGTTGTTACAGCAGGCCTAGCAAAAGAGCACAGTAAGGACGTGATCTAGGGTGGGAGTTTTGGGGTGTCAGTGGACCTCTGGAAGGGCGTGAGACTGAGGCCAGTGCTGCGGGGAGTCCCCCGCATCTACATGACTGAGCCCCAGTGAAGGCTCTGGACAGCGGGGCCCGGGGACAGACAGTGTCCCATGTTGGCAGGGCACCATGCGTGTTGTCGCACAGCACGTGTGACCACTCCGTGGGGAGGGGGCGACCCACGAGCCCTGGGCACGGAAACTTCCCGGACACTGCCCCACACACCGCTTCCCTTGGCGGATTTCCTCTGCATCCGTCGGCTGTAAGAAGCTGTCACCGTGAGCACGACAGCATTCTGGAATACGCTTCTAGTGAATCATCATGTCTGAGGGTGGTCTAAGGAACTCCCGAACTTGCAGTTGGAGTCGGAAGTGAGGGAGGTCTTGGGCGCTCCCCTAACCTCGCACCGCCCCACGCAAACAGGAGAGATGGCGTGGGAGGAAGTGCTCTCCTGTCGGGGAGGACACCGCAGAGCCTGGCTTTGCCACTTCTCGGCTGATGGGCCAGAGCCTCTCACGGCATGGCCTGGGGGTCGGTGGCACCGACGTCCCGTGGTGGCTGCTTAAGAAGGCAGATTCTGCCCCCCCACCCCCAGGCCTGCTGTATCAGGATGTCGGGGGTGATACCAGGAGCCTCGGACCTGTGTGCCCACCAATGGTTCCGACACGTGCTCAGTTCGGACAGCCACAGCTTTAGCCTCCTCGGGCCTCAGGTTCCGACCTGTAAGATCGGCACTGACAGCCCACGAATGTACTTCGAGGACTCGGTGCACTAGAGAACGTTCCTGAAGGAAGCACGGAGCGCGGTGCCCTGTGTGGGGAGGGTCAGCTCCCCGTGGGGTCGCACTGTCACACGTCCTTGCCCATCCTGTGCCGTGTGAGGACCCAGGGGGTTTAAATCCCCGGCTGACGGCCTGGCCCAGTAACGGACCACCTCCGTGGCCCCAGATCCTTCTCCGAGGAGCCGCCGCTCCCGCCTCAAGGCACCGCTGAGGGGCTGCGACAAGGGCAAGCGGTATGTGGCGAGGCGGCGGGTGCTGAGTCCCACCACCGGTGGGATTACCGAAGCAGCCAGACTCTGTGGGACAGAGTGGGCTCCGCGTGGCCGACACCTGCCGGGGCAGCCACCTACTCAGACGCTGGGCTCCGCCAGGCCTCGCCAGGGGCTGGAGGGAGGCGTGGATGCACGGAGTGACCCACGGGCCCGATGTGGGGACTGTGGCTCGTGGGTCAGGAGAAAACCGGTGCACGAGGGCGGCAGTGCCTTTCAGAGACCTGTCCTTCCAGCGTCGGGTGGGAGGCCCGAGGGGGATGGCAGCTAGGCCCCCGGGGTTTTTTGGGGTGAGTTGAGTCTCACTCGGGGGAAAGTATTACATGTGTTCCTCTAGCACCATCTGCTTTCACAGCTAATTTTAGTCCTTCCCGGGCCCGGGAGGGAGGCCGGGGGTGGAGGCTGGCTCAGATGGGTCTGGGGGTGGGAGCGGCCCCTCCCGGCCCAGCTGGGGCTGTGGGGCAGGACCCGGACGGGCAGAGAACGTGGGAGCAGGGATCAGGGGAGCAGAGGGTGCCAGCTGGCCGGAGCGGTGCCAAGGCCCTGGGGCCTGGCTGAGTAAGGCCCCCTCCACCTTTGTGGCTTTCTGGAGTATTGGGCTCCAGGAGGGGACCCTGGGGCACAAAGTGTGCCAACAGTGCTCTCCAGACAGCGCTGAGGGGGTGCCGGCTGGAGGCAGGCCCCCCTGCTTTCTGCCTCTCCCCTTGCCCTGCCCTTGCCCCCGCCTAGGCCTGCCACGGGGACCATAATTGAGTAATTGGTGAAGATGGGCGGGCGGGCTCGGGGCACTAATTGTCGCATGTGCAGGATCCTGGGGCCGGCATAGGGCCGAGCCGGGTAATTAGTTGTTTTTAAATAAACGTCAGCGGGCATGCTTTAATTAAGCCTTCTTCCCAGTGAGGGCCTCCGAGATGTAATCACAGAGAAAGCCACACACGCAAGACAGAGGAGTAGCGGCTCACCAGGAAGGCCCGTCCCGGTCCCAGGAGGCCACAGCCCGCGTCCCAGGTTCTAGGACCCCCGGCTTCCCCGGGCTTTGGGGGTGAGGGGCTGGTCCGGGGAGCCCTCCGTGGTGCCAGGGGGTGCAATTACCAAGTCCTCCTCCGGCTTCGTTCCGCCGAGGTCTGGAGCGAGGTGGGGGGGGGACTGCGGTGCTTTACCAAGTGGCTGGGAGGTCCTGCACCTTGTCATCTGCCCGCCCAGCTGCATTCTGGAGGCTGGCCCCTCCCCAGCCCCAGCGGCACCTACCTTGGGTGGCCGAGGTGACCAGGACGGCGGTGATGCAGAGACTCCACAGCACAGCGGCCAGGCGGGCCATGGCGGCGGCCAGGGGCGGGTCCGGGGCTCTCAGTGTCCTGTGCGGGGGGCCTTGCCCCGCATCAGCGGGTGGGCACCACGGCCTGGCCCACCAGCCTGGGGAGAAGAGGGAGAGTGAGGCGGGAGCGAGGCCCCAGCAGACGCAGGAGGACGTGCGTTTGGGCTGGTCCCCTCTCCTTGCCGGTGGCCGAGGCCTTCCACCCCAGAGTCCCCAGACGGGCCGGTCAAGGGACCTCTCTCGAGCCAGCTGTGTCTGACTGAAGCCGCACCCTTGGGCCAGAGGCTGACCGGCCCCCCGGAACCTCTGGCTTACACTGCTAACTCCACTGCCCACCCTCACCCCCACCCCCGGCAGCCAGACCCGCCCGTCTGGGCACCTTGAACCAAAGGGAACCTCCTGGACGAACCTCCCGTGGTCTGACAGTGCCCCTCAGGTAGCAAGGGCGGCTCACTGGGATGTCACGGGGGATAAAGACCTTCTGGAAGCTTCTTCTCCATCCCCAACCCCCAACCCTGCCCTCTTGTCTCCCCCACCTAGCTTCCCCACCCGGCACAGCATGGGGGCAGGGGCCGGGTACCCAGGCATCCTGGCCTTGACTTGCTTCACTAGCCTCCCAGTCTTGGGCAGGAGTCCAGGCCCCGCCCCCAGCCCTTGCTTCCTGTCTCTCCCGCTCTGGTAGCTAATTAGAATCCAGCTGGCTGGCGCCACAGATCGGGACCAGGGACAACCGAGTCCCCTTTTTCCCCTCTGGGGGACCCTCGAGGTTAGTTGGAGACAGGCGGTGGGGTGGGAGGGGGGGAGGTAGGGAGGGGTGTGCAGCCCCCTGGGGAGCCAGGGAGGGGGGAGCTGGCATCGTGTGCCCTTCCCTGCAATCCTCCCGCCCATCTGCCCGTCCCTGGGCACAGGGCTTGGTTCTGACCCACTCCTTCCTCTCTCGGCTGCTCCTCCCTCTTGCCACCTGGGTCTCCCCTGGATGCTCTCAGAGCTACAAACCTGGATCTCTACTCTCGGCCCTTTGCTCTATCTACACCATGGTTCTCAAGGGCGGCCCTGGCCCAGGGGCGCCAGCCTGGCCAGGAACTTCTAGAAATACTCATTCTCGGGGGGAGGGCCAGCACCCCATGTTTTAACTGGTTCTCCAGTGTGTGAACACCCACTCAGTCTTCTCCCACACTGTCATCCCCAATCTGTCCCACACTTTCAATGCCATCGACCAACTGATACCTACCACGTCTCTCATTTTCGGTTTGGAATCTCTCAACAGAGCCCCAACTACTGTCTCTCCCCCCAAGTGAAAGCCTATCCACCAGCCCAGTTAGCTCCCTGACCCCATTTCTGCTCAGGCCACTCCCGCCTCCAGCTCTTCCCTGAGCACACCACGCCCTGCCCCAGGGCCTTTGCGCTTGTCAGTTCCTCCACATGTATCTTAGACTGCCCACCAGTTACCCACAAGGCTGCTCCCTCTCACCTCCTTTAGGCTTTTGTTCAAATGTAACTATTTACTTCCTGTACGGTAGAGCTCCTGCACAGACGCGGGACACTGGGTTGTTTTGCTCAGCCCTAGCCCCGGCTTCTGGAACAGGCCTGGCACACAGCGATGAGCATTTGTTGCATCTCAGACCCCAAACTTAGGAATCCACCTCGATTCCTCACCCCTCCCCAGCCCTCCCCTTCATAAGCTCCATCGGCAAGTCCCTAGAACCCTGCCTCCAAAGCACCTCACCAACCTGCCCACTTGTGGCCCCCGGTGCCACCGTCCGGGACCAAGCCGCCGTCCGCCTCCACGCCTGCCCTCCACTCAGGGCTAAGGGATCCCTGAATGACGTGATCTGCCTATCAACCCTCCCCTCCGCTCTCCACTGGGGCTGGCGTTCCTCAGCAGGGCCCAGAGGCCACTGTCGATCTGGCGTCACCCTGCTCTGCAACCCGCCCCCTCCAGTTCCTAGAATGCTCTGGCTCCCGCCCCCCACTCTCTGCCTGGACCGCTCTCCCCGGTTCCCCATACACCTGCTATGGCTTTTCTCGGCTCAGAGCTCAACTCCGAGGCCGCGCGGGCAGAACAACCCACCCCGACCTCCCCAAGCGTGCCTGCTGCTCCCACTTGCCATCCTTCTGCCCTGTTTTTGACCCACAGCTTTCGACCACACCCGAATTACCTTTTTACGCTGGCAGGTCTGCTGTCAACCTTCCCTACTAGACCAGAAGCTCCTTGAGGGCACAGGTTCTCAAGAATTATAAAGGTCAGGGCGGCGCGCTCACGGGCAGGACGGCCCCTTCTGGGCCTGAGACTCCTCTCGCGAAATGGGCAGTAATTTCACAGCACAGCCCTCCATACCTGCGCCCTCCCTATCCCCAGCCTTCAGGAAGTCTCCCCTCTACTGCCTCACCCCACAACCCCGACCGGACAGGGCCTGCACTTTGGGTTCATTTCACAGCATTTTATTTTATTAAAAAAAATTTTTTTTTAATCTTTATTTTTGAGAGAGAGAGAGAGAGAGAGAGAGAGAGAGAGAGAGACAGCGTGTGAGTGGGGGGGGGGGGGGCACAGAGAGAGAGGGAGACACAGAATCCAAAGCAGGCTCCAGGCTCTGGGTTGTCAGCACAGAGCCCAATGCGGGGCTCGAACCCACAAACTGTGAGATCCTGACCTGAGCTGAAGTTGGACACTTAACCAACAGAGCCACCCAGGCACCCCCTCACAGTGTTTTATGTTACGTTGTGGGCAGCAGGGGCTTCCTCATTACTCCCCCCCCCCCCCCCCATCTCCTAGCTATGAGCAGGCTCAGGAGAAACTCTGACCCCAATGGACACTTCCCTCCCTGGTTCTCCCTGAGGGACTTAAACTAGTTAGCAGCTGGTTAATACTGGAAAGGCTGCTGGACACCAGGCTCCGGGGGGGGGGGGGGGGGGGGGGGGGGGCAGCCAACCCACCTAGGTCTGGATCCAACTCTGCCATTCACGAGTGGTGTGAACCTGAGCCGGCTGTCCCCTCCCCCACCCCGGTTTCGTCTGAGGGGTTCTGGTCAGGACAACAGTCTACGCATGGGACAGGCCAGCCTGGGACCCATCAAAGGGTGCTGTCCACAGCACAGCAGTATCAGAACACAGGGGGCATGCATCTGAGCGAGGTGGCTCCCACCCCCAAGCGCTGCACCCAGGACCCAGGCGCTGGAACCCCAGGTGGGGTCCCCAGGCCTCTCCCCCATCCACACTCCTTGGGGGACTCAACTAGCCTCCCCCAAGACTGCCACACTGGAGCGCCAGCCCTGCTTCTCTCCTCACCGTCTACACCTCCCTCGGGTCTCCCAGCCTGACCTGACCAAAACAACCCCACCCCCCATATTAGTCCATGGTCCCACCATCCCCCCGGGTCCCTGGGCTGAAACCCAGGGAGTCAAAATCCTTGGTTCCTCTTTCCTTCGCCCTGACATCCAGTTCAGGAGTTCGGACACCCCAGCAGCCGCTCTCCGGACAGCCCTGGCCTCCCCCTAGCAGCCTCCAACCCCTCTGGCTCCCACACTCTGGGCTCCCCACCGGCAGCCAGAGGGGCCTTTAAAAAATTACGGTGTAACAGACATGTACCATAAAATGTGTCATTTTAACCGCTTTTACGTGTATAATTCAATGGCGTTAATTACATTCTCAGTGCTGTGCCACCATCACCACCACGGTCTATTTCCAAAACCCTGTCATCACCCCAAACAGAGACTCTGTCCTCGTTAGGGGTCACTGCTAGCCCCCGCCCCTGGCGACGACCAATCTACCTTCTGCCTCTACGACTGACTCCTCTGGGGACCTCATCTGAGAGGAATCGCACAGGATGTATCCCCCTGTGGCTAACTTGTGTCACTCAGCATGGTGTCCCTCAGACTCATCCACACTGTAGCCTGTGTCAGCCCCTCATCCCTCTTTGGGGCTGAATAATATTCCATTACGAGGATGGACCACATCTTGTTTGGGGATGCCTGGGTTGTTTCCAGAGAGGAGTCTCTTTTTTAAAAATGTTTATTTTTGAGAGAGAGAGAAAGAGCACCAACAGGGGAGGGGCAGAGAGAGAGAGAGAGAGAGAGAGAGAGAGAGAGAGAGAGAGGATCCAAACAGGCTCTGTGCGGACAACAGGGAGGCTGACGCAGGGCTTGAACTCACGGAACAGTGAGATCACGACTGGAGCCAAACCGACTGAGCCTCTATGAGTCCAGAGAAGGGTCCTTTTCCTTTTACAGACATCTTGTCACTCTTGACAATGTCTCCTGCTCCACGATCCCTGAGACAACGCAGAATCCCACCAGGTGGCCCCGGCCTGTGTCCCTTAGATCGCAGTTCAGATGTGCCCTCCTCGGAGAGGCAGGTGGGCCTCCAGTCCGTTCGGTCTGTGTGCACGTGGTGCCTGCCCGCCC